CACGTATGTTAACGTGCACGCACATACTCATTCACATCTTCGCATGCATATATATCCTAATATGCATGTGCCACACACACACATACACGCGAAAGCTCACTCATACACGTCACATACATGTATAGAAACTTACGCACACACATACATGCACTTGCACACATACAACCAAAAAAAAAACGTAACATAATCACGTGCAAATATATCTACATAAGCGCACATACATTCACATTTACACGTGCACTTACATCAACACGTATATGCACATCAACATCGACACGTATTTTTATACGTGTATACGTGTACATACAGTTACATTTGCACGCACACTCATATTTGCACACCAGCATGCGTGTACTCACACACGCATACATATATATATGTATATATATATATGTAAGGAGATACATACAAAGGGCGGCTAATACTTGCTGACGCATAAAGCAAGCAATTGACATTGAACACGATCGATTGGAACTATTCATTGGCGTTGCATGTTGAGAGAATTGGAGAGAGAAAGGAACAGGGCAAAAGATGAGAAAGGGCGGGGAGAATTTCCGGGAAATATTCCAGACGGGAAGGGAAATTTCACGAAAACTTTCAGCAACGAATGAATTCCTTTTATCAAATATTTTAATGTCACGCAATGAAGAAACTTACTTAATGACTGTTAAAATGAGGGAAATAATCGAAGAAACCGTTTAAAAAGAGCATTGGAAAAATAAAAAATGAAAAATAATTTATTGCATGAATTAAAAGAATGAAAATTTATTAATATGCAACTTAATAATGGAATGAAATCAGAAATGGGTTACACGAAATCAATCAATAATTTAAGATAATAATAATAATAATAGTAATAATAAGAAATAATAATGATAGGAAAGACTGGAAAAAATATAGAAATACATTTGTTGAATATGAAGTAATGGTAATGATAATGGTAGTGATAATGATAATGGATATAAGAAAATGCAAATAAACATATCACATCATATTTACAACCAGATAAACTTTAGTTTTTTTCCTTTTTTTGACAAGTGAATCATATGATTAGTGATAACGACAGATAATGTTGATAATAATGACTAACACGATATATGCATACATACAAATAGTTTATCATTCCTTAACCAGTGATGCTTTACTCTCTTGCTTGACAAGCTTGTATTATATGTGTGTGTATGTGTGCATGTGTGTGTGTATGTGTATGTGTGTGTGTGTATACGTGCGTACGTGCGCGTATATGGGTGGCTACAAAACCAAAACATTGGATAAATGATTGATTGATAGTAAGACTGATGACTATCATGAGTGATATGACGTCAAGCCCGCATATCACGTCCCATCGTGGTTTGCTGCAAGTTTTTAGAAAGCGATCTTCCCATACCGTACTTACAACATATTGAAAGATCGATATTACACACACATACATAGATACATACACACGCATACACATACACACATACACATACACAAACAAACATACACATACATACACACACACACACACATACATACATGCATATATCTACACACATATACAAGAAAGTGACGAAATTTTGGGATAAAAATTTCAAAAAAAAAGATTAATATCCATCTGACATTGTTAGTCAGCGATGATAAAAGCATTATCATTTATCACTATCATTATCACAATCAATTTATAAAAGCTGAAAATAATCAATAATTCCATGAAACCATAGAATATGAAAAAAAAGAAAGTGAATAATAATATCGATTGGAAGATTAGGAAATCTACAAACAAGTTAGAGAAACGAACCGCTCGCTATAAACTGGTCGTGTAAATGACATCTTGAACAAATTGAATGCAATAATTAAAAACATTTGAAATGAGAAATTTATTTTCAAAAACAAAAATTAAACTCCAATAATGAAAATGAATTGAAATGGAATAAATGTAAGGAAAGAAATTAATTGTGGAGTAACAAAATTGATTAAATATCGATTTATTTTGTTTTAATTTCTGATTCCAATTATTATTATTATTGATTAAATACAAATTTATTTTATTTTGATTTCTGATTCCAATTATTATTGTTCATCAAATAGCAATTTATTTTGCCTTAATTTCTGATTTTTTTTCTAGTTATTATTATTATTATTATCGTTATTATTATTATC